GATACCACCCCCAAAGCCTCAAGACAATATTACAAAATGAAAAGCAATATGAACAGAAGTGTTGATACTAAATGTTTGAACAGAAGCAAGAATACCTGTCTTCAATATAATAGTGCTTCCTTTAATGTTACAGGTATAATTTATCCAAAGAGTTGACAGATATTTCTTCCTAGGCTGAACAAAATTCTGCTTAGTTCAGTCAAGCTTTAAAACTAAATGTTAGTGTTATGTCCTGGTATTTTATTTTTCACAAGTCTGTTCCAGTTGACTAGGTAGTAAAAGTTATACACTGAAAGCTCTACAATGGCTAAAATATTTCCCACTTTCTCTTTCTTCCTTTGCACCCCAACATTTGATTATTGGTTTAATTCCTTCACTGATGGAGATAGACTGGATCCAAATATACGATATGACAAGACCGTTATTGACCATATAAGAAAGAAAAATTGAGAATTTTACTGTATGTGTAGAGAACCCAAACTTGTGGCAGTCCTATGGAAATGTCACTGGTGATATAGCCATGAAAATGTTATGAATATATTGAACTTTATTTGTGAACAAGTTTACTTTGAAACTAATGGTGAATAAAATAAATGTAAAAAATCCATTTTCAGGATGCTTTTTTAAAATCATGTAGAGTTTGCTAAGACATTTTCCTTGTATTAAATGTTATGATTGTAAAGGCATGACTTTCAAATACTCTATTAGGGAAGTGCTGAAAATTTTTTTAAAGCAAAAACTTTAATTAGAATAAAGAGAGATTCTTGCTAAATCAGAAGTGTTATAAGTAAATTGAAGAATATTCTAAAACAGGAGTGTTCAAACTTTTTCATACTGCAGTTGTGTTTTAAAAGAAATTGTGTTATGGACACCTCAGTTCCCCTTCACAATCCTGTGACTTCTTTATGGTATCTGCAACAATTCTTTACACAAAACTGTGGTGGAAAGGGAGTATGGATGAGGTGTGGGTGTCTGCTCTGTTCAGTAATTCTGCCATACGTGACCTATTACCTCTTGTAACTATTTATAAAATAGGGTAGGAGTTAATATTTTACTACCTTCTGAGAGAGATTTATAAGGGCTATGAATGTTTAACACATATCATCATGCTGAGCTCACAGTACCTTTTGTTACTTGCAAAAGTATTTTCATTAGTATTTTCTTTCACTTTCTGGCTAAGTCAAAGGAAGAAGTAAATCAGGCTTTCTAAATGAGAGGAGATACAATCCCTAATGATGGTAGCTTTCCAGGCTCTGTCATAGTTTGACTGATGGAAGAGGTGTGTGATTTTTGACCAGCTAACTCTCCTTAAGGAATATAGGACTGTTGTGGTAGAGCTTGGAAACCGGCATTACTACTCTCCTAAACACACTGGGACCTCTTTCCTCTACAGTTACTGTAGCTTCTCCTCTTCCACACTCCCCTTTCCCCTTATGTTGTACAACATAAGGAGATGTGAGGTGGGCGGGAATCCTCCCAAGTGCTTCCAATTGCGCTGTATTTGAAAGAAGCAGAGTGGGGAGGGAAAATCAATGGAAAACTTAATAAAAAAAACTTGAACTTAAAATAAAATAAATTAATGCTAGTTTAAATTTGATCCCCCAGGTACTAAAAACAAGAAAATGCCAGATGTGTACACTTCTTAAGCACATTCCAGTTCCCATGCAGCACACTTCTCTTGACAGAGAAAAATTCTGCACCTCTGCAAGAAACTTCTTGCTGGCTCACATAGATAAAGGGAAAACCACATACACTAAGCACAGTACTTTGCTTGTTCACACTAGAATTCCAAACCCTAATTAAACTATATAATTCCCCAGCCAGCAGAAAACATACCACATGCTTAATCTGCTTACATATGGCAACTGGGAGCAGGAGGGGAGTGATGGGGGCAAGTATTTGGGGAGGGGAAGAGGGAATGGGGCTGAAAAAAAAGCATTTGTGTGCAGCTGTGTATTTGTGATTGTGGTGGCAGTTGGAAGCCACTGCTTCTGCTTTATCCTGGGTGGCTGGCCATGTCCCTACACTGCTGGATTGTAGGGTTCTTATTTTCTCACATGCCTAGCCCCATTCATTTCAATATGACTACTTGACTGAGAAATAATTACAAACATTAGTTTGCCCTAAATATGATGAAAAAATATGATGTACATTGACTTAAAAAAGTGGCTCAATGTTCAAAGATAATGTTAACTCAGGTGTGTTTTGAAGGATTTAAATCATTGCTAATTAAAAATGAAAATATTTAGTTTTAAAATAAGGTTTTTACTTAGTACCTGGATGGATGAAAAGTTGTACTGATCAGCAAAGGATACCAAAGCAGAAAAGGAAGAAGTCTTAAATTGTACCCTGTATTTCAACGTCCTTTGCAAATGATTGGATTTTCATTAATCAAAATTATTTGTTAATTTCTCTTTTGTTCATTGTCATTTTTGTTTTCACCCATTCCTCTATTTAAAAAGCGGAGAGGGACAGCAAAGAGAGAGAGAAAGGAAAGAAAAAAGAAGAGGACTACTTTTTTTCATTTTGAATTTGTTAAATTTTTATTTCAAAATGAAAAAGTTTAAGAACAAGCAAACAAACAAACCAAATATTTTAAGTAAGAATGATGGGATCTCTGTTATTTACAAATCTTCTGTGACAGCTCTGTCTTTCAGCAATAAAGTACTCACAGAAGTACACAGGTTCACACAACCTAACATCATATGTTTCTTTGGGATATCCATTTTATAAACATACTGAATAAATTTTAATACCCCTTAGCCTTACTTTTGCTTTTTTCACACAGATCAGAAAAACAGAACAAGCTTCCAAAATTAACAAAGAACAAATACTGCTGAAACAGCATCACCAGGTGTGGTGGCAAGAACATAAAAGACAGAGTGAGAACCGGTAAGAGCTAGAGAGATCATAAAAACAAGACATTGATAACAAAAGTTTTGGTCTAGACAACTTCTTTCAAGACATACAATTCAGAAGAAGATAGAGTAAGCAGATGCAGATGAGTTTGGTGGGTGACCTTAACTCTCCTGAGCTAAGCGACTAGATGTGGGTGGTTAACTGAGTTTGTAGGCATGAAATGTAAAAGGGAAAGGGAAGATGGGTTATAGAAGTCTCATAGCTCAATATGTGACCCTGGCCCAACTCTGAGCAGCCTTGAACCTACTAGGATAGGCAATCCTTGGAGTCTACTTCTCTAAGGGTAAAATTCTGAAAATGCAACTTGTGTTGTATCAGCGAGTGTAATGCTCATCACTCAAACACAAGGACAAAATTTAGTCATAACAGCTAATTGGTGTATGAGCTTCTGCTGTAGCTACACTGGCTAATTTTATTTTAGAAGCTATTTCCTCATCTTGGTGGTATTTTTACATTTTTATCTGAATTTTTTCCCTTAAATTTTATTTTCAGTTTCCTGCTACCCTTACTATCAGAACGGTAAGGCAATGGGACAATATATCCAGGGAAGTTGTGGAATCTCCTTCTTCAAAAATTTTTCAAGAAGAGGCTGGCTAGGCATGATAGGGATGGATTAGGAAAAGGAATACATGAAGAGGGTTGGACTAGTTGACCCTTGGGTCATTTCCAAACCTGTGATTCTATACAAAACGCCTGTAGAATTGGGCCAGTCATGGCTTCATGTGTCTTTTGGGCTGAACTTTATCCCCATACTCAGCTGATTGGTAAGATCACATTTTAAGTGCTGGTAGCGTTCATAGTTTCATAGTTGGTAGGGTTGGAAGCGACCTGAGAAGATCATCAAGTCCGACCCCATGCCATGGCAGGAAAGAGTACTGGGGTCAAACGACCCCGGCGAGGTATTCATCCAGCCTCCTTTTAAAGACCCCCAGGGTAGAAGCCTGCACCACTTCTCTTGGAAGTTGGTTCCAGATCCTAGCCGGCCTGACCATAAAGTAACGTCTCCTGATATCTAGCTTAAATCTACCCTCTGCCATCCTGTGACCGTTATTTCTTGTCATTCCTGGTAGTGCTTGGGGGCACAGGGACTCCCCCAGTGCCTGGTGGTCCCCCCTGACTAGTTTGTAAATGGCCACTAGATCCCCCCTCAGCCTTCTCTTGTGGAGGCTGAACAAGTTCAGGTCCCTTAGCCTCTCCTTGTAGGGCCTGCCCTGCTGACTCCTGATCATGTGAGTGGCCCTCCTCTGGACCCTCTTCATGTTGTCCACATCCCTCCTGAAGTGTGGCGCCCAGAACTGGACGCAGCACTCCACCTGTGGCTTGACCAGTGTCACATAGAGGGGGAGTATCACCTCCTTGGACCTGCTTGAGATGCATCTGTGGATGCGTGACAAGGTGTGGTTGGCCTCCCTGACTGCGTCCCCACGCTATCGGCCCATGTTCATTTTGGCATCAGTAATGACTCCAAGATCCTTTTCTGCCCCTGCACTGATGAGAAGGTAGTTCCTCAGCCTGTAGGTATGCTGCTGGTACTTTCTCCCCATGTGCAGTACCCTACACTTGTTGGTGTTGAAGCCCATCCTGTTCCCATCGGCCCACCCCTGTAACCTGTCTAGGTCCGATTGCAGCCTACTGCTCTCTTCTAGCATGCCCACTTCTCCCCACATCTTAGTGTCATCCGCGAATTTGAACAGGGTGCTTTTTACCCCCTTGTCCAAGTCACTGATGAAGATGTTGAACAGTGTGGGCCCGAGGACCAAGCCCTGGGGGACCCCACTGCCCACATCCCTCCAGGTTGAATAAGACCCACCACCACTCTCTGGGTGTGACCCTCCAGCCAACTAGTGACCCATTTGACTGTGTAGGTGTCGCCGCCACAGTCCCCTAGTTTTTTAATGAGAATGGGATGAAAGACAGTGCCGAAGGCCTTTCTAAAGTCCAGAAAGACTACGTCCACTGCTACCCCTGCGTCTAAGGATTTTGTGACCTGGTCATAGAAGGCCACCAGGTTGGTTTGATGGGACTGCCTCTAATGAACCCATGTTGGTTGCCCCTAAGCATAATCTCCCCTGCTGGCCCCTCGCAGACACACGCCAGGATAACTCTCTCAAAAAGCTTACATAGGATCGAGGTAAGACAGACTGGCCTATAGTTTCCATAGTGAACCTCCAGTGAGATTTATCCTGTGAATCTCTCGCATTTACTTCCTTTCTACATAGAGTTTCTTCCCTCTATTCATTGCTTTTGTTTAGAGTGACAGTGCTTTACCATTTTGCATAACCCACAGTTTTACTTTTCAGACACAAAGTAGAAGCAGAAATACAAACTTTCCTTGATGAAAGGTGCCTTGAAACTGAATTTCTTTTGGATGTGTGGGACTTGGGTAAGAACTTTCACTCTTTCTTGCTCAATTTAAGTGTGAGTATTTAAAAATAATAATATACTGCTGATTTCAGTTTTTAATAAGAAACTGCAGAAACATATATATAATATTTTTGTCTTTGATAATGCTTTTGTTCAATTTGATATAGCACATAATTTATCAAAGGAAAGGGAGACATATCAAAGAAATACAGTAGATCCTGTCTGGCAACTGAGAGAAGATTTGAAATTCAGGCTGTCTGAAATGCAATGCTGTCTCTCACAGCAGTCGTCTTTGGGACTTCAGTTCAATCCAGTCAAGGTGTTAGAGCAGGTTGGTATTTCAACTCTTGCTTTTACAACTTTGTTGTTGCTGGTTAGCAGAGGCATAGGCATAGCTCCTTCAGCAGCTGCAAGAGCAGCAGGGGAAAAATTATGCTGACCACTGAAGACTGAGGGAGGGGTAGGAGAATGGGGACAGACATTCCGTAGCTCTTTGCACTCTGGAGGCAGCTGCTGCTATAGCAGCAAGGGACAGCTGCAGCAGCCCAAAGGTGCAGGTTGCCTGGAAGCTGCTCCTGGTGCTCTGTTCCCTTCCCACTCCACCTTTTTGAAACAGCACTGCTTTGTTTCGACTTCCATTTTGCCATTTTGAAGGGTAGTTTTTCATTTTATCGTTTTGTTTCATTTCAAAGCACTGTTCCATTTTGTTTTGTAGAAACTGTTTTGCTGTTTCGACGTTTCGTCCATAGGCTATAATGGGGAATCATGAAAATGCCTATAACTTTGTACTTTCTTGCCTGATGCAAATGAAAATTGCAGGGATGGTAGCCCATTCTGAGGGCACGAAACCTACCACGTTTTAAGGAGATAGGTGTAGGGGTTTTTGTGAAACTGCACCTCAAACAGTTGAAAGCAAAACTCATATCACTTGCCGACAGTGGCAGCCTGTTGTCATCCCACGTTCAGAGTTGGGGCCCACACCCCCAAGAGGGCTGAGGAGCTGTGCTGGACTCCTCCTGGGGGTGTAGGCCCCCAGATCTGTGTGCAGGATGACAGAAGGCTGCCGCTGCCACCTGGAATCAGTGCTCGGTGCAGCCCACACCCAATCCTGGGAAGACTGCTGCTGCCACTGGTCACAGGCAGCAGCAGCAGCCTCCTGCCATCCCGCGCACAGATCTGGGGGCCTATGCCCTCCAGGAGGCCCATGCTTGGTGGCGGCACTGGGAGGGCAGATGGTGGGGGCTACAGCAAATTGTGGGGTGGCAGCAGTCCCCCTTCTATCACTGAGGCCTGCCCCATGCACTGGGGAGAGCCCCGTGCTGCCCCTGCTGCAGCCCCAGGAGCGGCGCATCCCGCCTACCTGCAGCCACTGGTCTGCACTGCACCAGGGGGTCCGGGGCACAGTGTAGCCCAGTGACTGCAGGCAGGAAGTGTCTGCTGCTCCCAGGGCTGCAGCAGGGGCAGCATCAGGCTCTTCCCAGCACTCAGTGGCAGTGCTGGGAGGACAGTCTCAGCTCCATGGGGCTGGCAGAGCCACTCGGAGAGCAGCCCTGGCTCTCCCTACCACCAGGCTGCACTCCGAAAGGCTCTGCCAGCCACACAGATCTGAGCCTGGCAGTGGGAGGTGGGGGAGAGCCACTGACCAGGACTGCGCTTGGAGCCAGAGCTGCACTCTGAGTGGCTCCGCCACTGGCTGTCTGCCGCCTTCCACCACTAGGCTCAGCTCTGTGGGGTTGTGGAGCCTCCAGTTGCTAGGCTGTGCTCACCAGGGGTGTGCTCCAAGTGGTTCCACAAATTCCATGGAACTCAGCCCAGTGGTGGGAGGCAGCCGGAGAGCCAGTGGCCAGGCCTATGCTCACAGCCAGGCCTGCACTCCAAGCAGCTCTGCCACTGGCTCTCTCACCTCCAGGCTGAGCTCTGTAGGGAAGACCCCAGCACAGCCCCTCAGCCCACAGCCCTCCCATTGCAGCTGGTGGTGGTGGCCCCCCAGGAAGGGCTGGGGGAAGCAATCAGGAAGCTGGGGGAAAGATTGGGGAGCTGGGGAATCCAACCAGGAACATTCCACCAGCTCCTGGTTCAATTCCCCAGCTCTCTGATTGCATTCCTGAGCTCTTCCCAGGGGTGTGGGCTCCCAGATCTGCACACTGGGTTTCAGCGGGCTGCTGCTGCAGTTTCAGCGGAAGCCTACTGAAACCCCATGCACAGATTGGGGGCTGGCACCCCCTGGGAAGGTCTGGGGAAATGATCAGAGAGCTGGGGGAAGCGATCAGAGAGCTGGGGAATTGAACAGGGAGCTAGATATCAATATTGGAGCAGTCCTTCCCCACTCTTCACCCCCCATCTCCTTAGTTTATGTTTAGCAGCAAGCCTGGCTTTGAAATGTGAAATGTTTTGAAACATTTGAAACATTTCGAGTGCCCTCGTTTCGTTTCAAAGCTGTTTCGAAGCCTTTTGTTTCATTTCAATTTCTCTGTTTTGAGCTCGAAATGCATTGAAGCAACTTAAAAATGAAACACCCATCAAAATTCCTCACAGCCCTAATATGCTGTTGTGTGCAGGGCTGACTCCCTTGGGGGAGGGGCATTCTATTTGTCCCCCACCCCCTGATACTCTGCTGGACGTGGCCTGCAACTGCCCTGCTCCTATAACTAGCCAACATGTGGCTGCTCCTGTCATGGCAAAGAACCTGGGGTAAGAAGAGGCACATTCTGGCACCCCCTTATTGTCAGCACTCAGGTCGGTGCCCTGCTTGCCCCTCTTGTTTACACTACTGCTGGCTGGTATTTAATTTTGAAGGATGGGGAGCAAGTATCTTGGAACCTTTTAAAAGAAATGTGAAATGTAAAAATATGCACCTTAATTTTACAGAAAAATATTGTAGCTATTTTTTAGTAATGAGAAATCTCCATTGGCCTGGATGATCCTTGAAATTGCTTCACTAAAGTCACTTAAGTTACACCAATGTGAAACATGTATGTTAGAAGAAAAACAGGTTTTGTGGCAAACAAGCTACTGAAAAACAAACAAGAGCATACATTTGTAGTCGGCTACTCCAGCTAATCCAGAGTAACTTCCTGTCCACGCAGTTTTACCACATGGCAATTCAAAGCAGTTTACCCACTTTAGCTGAGGGATTGACTATTCCACCTTATCACACTATAACGTACACAAAACAGTTACTGTGGAGTGGCTGAGTAACTTGTTTGTGTGCCCTTCATAACCTTTGTTTTGTTTTGAAATGACAGCTTTCATATTTATAAAAATTTAACTGTGAAATAATATTTCATAAAATAGGTAGCCTTTGTGAAAGAACAACAGAAAACTATTTTGGATCAACTTAACCTTGAAAGACTGGCTTTGGAGAGAGAGCTTGAAGAATATAAAGCCAAAGTAAGAGCTGAAGAAGGTTCACTTTTCCAAATTAATCAAGTAAACAAAATATACCTGCATCATCCATATTGGCCCAATGATAAATAATTTTTATTCTAGGTGTTGGTATACTCTTCAGAAGAGGAAGCTATCCTTTTTCACGAAGTTCCTACAGAATTATTGGCTTTGGAGTGCCCATACCCCGATTTGAAGACTTCAGTTCTTAGGGAATTCCATAAACTTGCAGGTGAATATTGGTCTAAGCTTCAGGAGATTGACCACCAGTTGAAAGTCGTATTCAGGTAATGAAATAAATTTTAATATTTCTATTTTTAAGGACAAGAGAGAGAACTGTGCTGTTTTACACTCTTTAGAGAGTACATTTGTCTTCATCAGAATTACTTCTCTTTTGTAAAGTACAATACATAGTTGACTCTATGCCTAGCTCTCTGGGATTAAATAGTCAGTAACTGTTTGCACAGCTGAGAGAACTGTGACAGTCTTTCAAAAGAACTTGTCTGAAATAATAAGCAAAATATTTTACAGATTAAAGAACCAGTGTCTGGTGTATAGCAAATCTTCTCTTCACACGTTTTGCCTTACACAGATAGAAATTCTTTTGAACATTTTCCATACGGTAATTTCAGTACAGTATCAAACATTTTAATATTGGAAAAATATTTTACTTCCTTCTGAGGAAAATCTAGAACATACACCCATATACACTAGATAAATAGGTCTACATCTTTTTATAAAGTGTAGCTTATTGCAGCAATATTGCATTATGAGATACCAAAAGTTTACTGAATTAGTTTAGAATTATTTTAAAGGAGTCATTATTTATAAGTCATCGACATCATAATGGGATGAAATGTAACATGTTTCGACACACTAATATAACACAACTCACTGTAATGGTTTGCACATGCAAACTGACGCAATTGCAGAATGATGTATGAACTCATCAGGCAAACCTAGATTTGCACCCACTTGTAGGACTAATGAGAGCAGGAAAAATACTAGGTTTCTTTTGGGAAGGAGATTCCTGATGGAACAAAGAATGTTCAGGAAATATCTGCATGAAGCTACTTTCATCATGATTTATGCAATATGACCAGGGATCCAGGTTTTCCATTTCCCACGGAAAAACAGAGTAAAATGCAAATTTCCCACTTTACCAGAGGAAATTGTGGATTTTGCATTTTAGCAGAGAAACCTATGGATTTTGTAGTTTTGCAAGGAATCCTCTACAGGGGTTCAAGCCTGCAGGGGGCTGGGAGTGGAAGAAAAGTGGTCAAACAGGGGGTGCCATGTGCATGTACATGCACATGGCTGACAGGCAGCCTGGAGAACAGTGAAGAGGGGGATTGAGGCCCCCATTGGGAGGGAGGGAGTTGGGTAGGGCTGGGGCTACTGCACAGCTGGGGAGTGTGTGGGGCTTGGGGCCCAGGGCAGGGAGTGGGACAGGGCCACTGGTGGGTGGGTGGGTAGGGCTGGCTTTCTGCCACTGCATGCACTCCTGGAGGATGGGGGGGGCGCTGTGATTTCCAGATCTGTGCATGGGGCGGGTGTGGGCTGCCTGCTGCAGGCTTGGGCCTCCTGCCTTGCTGCCTTGCTGACCTCCCCCAGGGTCGCCTCAGCCCAGTGGGTGCAACCTAGTGCTGCAGGGCAGAGCGGGGCCATGTAGGAAAGCTGCTTGCAGCTGCAAGCTCTGAGCTGCCCTGGGGAGGTGTCTCCTGCATGCAACCCCACACCACTGCTCCCGCTGCTCTCGCATGGATAGGGCAGTGCAGAGCTCGCAGCGGCAAGCATTTTGCTGCATGGCCTCACTCTGCCCTGCAGCACTGGGTTGCACCCACCGGGCTGCAGAGAATGGCAGGGCAGGAAATCTAGCCCGCAGTGGGAAGCCCGCACCCACCCCACACACACATCTGCAGGTCATGGGTCCCTCCTGCCTCCCCGGGACTGCGTGAGTAAGGAGCATGAGTAGGGCCAGGGGGCTGTGTGGGGTCTTTCATTTTAATCATGGATTTGTGTGGGGTTATTTTTCATTTGTTTTATTAGAGAACTTGCAATTTGATTGATTGATTGATTGATTGATTTTTCATTGGGGAAAACCAGGATCCCTGAATATGATACACTACACAATTCAGCTCTAGTTGAGGAGAAACTACATTTGTATTAAGTGCAGAAATCTCCAGTGGAGTCCTTTCTGAAAAAATCTCTTGACTGTTTGTCTGATGGCTATGTTTTATAACTTCAGTGAGTGTTACAGCCATGTAACACGGTCTTTCCTTAAAGTGAGGAAAGACTCAGAATAACATTTATTGTGAATTTGAAAGCTTGTCTAATTTTATCTCAAATATGCAGTTGGTTCAATAAATGATATCATCCCCCAAAATCCTTGTCTCTCACATCATTCCTGAGCCATCATGGCTACAACATCACTTTAACACTACAATAACACTTACAGCATAAGCTTGCAAATCCTGTTTGATTTATATCACCTCTTTCCTGATTGACTTAGACCTGTCATGCAATTCAATCAAAGTTTTATTTTTATGGAAGTGATTTAAAGTAATTATTGTTAAAAAATCTACAAAAAATATAGAATGACTGTAAAAAGTACAGGGATGTTTTGATACTCTTAATTTAGAAACTAAATATTACACTCAATGGAAATAGGAAAAATATTAGTTGGATGTCAAAAGAATGCCAGAATGCACGTGTTAGTGCATAATAACTAAATGTTACGTTAAACAACCAACTAAATATTGCATTACAACCAACAGAGAAAGATAGATTGGAGGCTGTTTGCAGCTGTACTCGAGTATCATATTTCAGTATGGATTTTTGAATATCACCTAGTTTTTGCACTGGCAGGTAAAAACTACCTTGAAGGTGAAAACTAAAACACCAAATGTGTACAGTGAAAGTAACTTGGCACTAGTTATGAAAACCACCTTTATGATTATCTTCATAACTACAGTATGGTATTTAATGAATATGTAGTATGAAAACTAGAAAAAATATGGAGGGAAACCCACTGGAAGGAGAAGTTAAAAGCAAAAGGAGCCCTCTACTGGAAGATGTAGGGAGGCTCTAATGGGTGAAAAATTAGGACGTGTACGTGTATATTTTCTTATTGGCAACCCTAATTCACAAACTGTTAATCCTCTCAAAATCATCAAGTATTTAAAATCATATTTAAAATATATTTTAGGGGGTTTTAAATTCCCTTCTAGCTTCTTAGCCATTAGTATGCTGTTGCTTTGTTCATGGTTTCAGGATTTCTTCTCAAATCCCCAGGTGCTAGGATCTCATTCTTTCTTGTGATTTTGTTTTTTGCCTTTTTAATTAAAAACTGAGAATCATTAGCCTCAAAGACTGAGAGTTGGCAACACTGATATTTGTAACTTTTTAGAAGTACAATCCTTTATAGGGCATTAAAAGATTAAACAAAGACTGTGGAATTGTAAGTCTAAAACTCAGATCTTTGCATTCTGCTGACTTCTTACTGCCCTAAGGGTTTACCTAAATTGCAAGGGAAAGTATGACAACTGCATGGGTAAACATATTTGAACTCAATCAAATTTGCATGGGTACCAATAACAGTGAAAACATGGAAGCACAAATTTCAGGCTCTTGAACACCATTACTAAGAATCTTTGCTTAGCTTGTACAGCTCATGCTGAAGCTTGTGCCTCAGCAATTGCGGCAAATATGTGTACTCATACTAGTCATAACTTCCATTGCAGCATACCCTAAGTTTTGTTCATACTCTGATTTTTTTTGTTTTTATTTTTTTTTAAAGAATCCTGCAATAGAATTAAGCCTTAATGACCTGTTTTTCCTTGGTATAGTTCAGAACTATCTCTTTATTGCCTCTCTCTTCATATATATAAACTGCAGGCTTTCTTTATTATGTCATAGATATATAGTGGATCACACTTTTCTTGGCTGCTTGTTTCGGAGCAGCTGACAAACTTTGGCACAGATCTGAGAAACTGCCAGTTAGAATGTCTACCCTAAAGTATAAAAAAGAAAGCCTGTAGTTAAAAATTAGAGTTCTTGTGGTTACAAATTTCTTTGGACCAAATGAACAATGAGAGAAAAAAATCTGCCTGTCACAATATTATGCATAACCATTTCAGAAGTAAGAAAAAAAAAGAGCAAGAGATTGGTTTTATAAGGGATTCTATTTCTTCTTGTTTTGGTGGATCTAAAAAAAGATAAGAGTTTCTTTTTAAGAAAAAGGGAAAAATACATAAATAGTACAGAAGAATTGAACTACCAACTGCATACTTTGCAAGGAAAAAATATGAAATTAAAGCTAATATTGGTAGATAAATTTTATTTGTAAGTTATTAATAAAACATTCTACTTTTTAATGTTGCTGGAATGTAAATTTTATTTGTAGAACCTCTGCCTCCCTCAAATCTTCAACTCCCACTTTTGGTGTTCAACCCAGAACCATATTTTACCTTTATTTCTAAGGAAAATAGTAATTTTCTGAATGATTTAAATAACAGAAAGACAAAAAAGAGTAATTTAATTTGCGGTCATTTGTATGTTTAAAACTTGCCCTCTAGTTTTTCCAGAAAAATAGAGTTTCAGGGTATGTCAAGTAATTTTACTCTGTACAAAGCTTTTAACCGGATGTTTCCAGTACAACAATAGACAATGACACGGTTGACAGCTGGCGAAATTGACATCTCACTTGGTGGTATTGTTGCAGTCTGTCTGTCTGCAGATTCAACAAGACAGCAGTGAATGAAGTTTACATTGTCGCAGCTGTTGTATAGGATATCTGGCGATTACTGAGGTGGAGAGGGTAGCTTCCCTTATTAGTTGTTTATATTCTTTAGAGGATGTAAAGCAAGAGATTAACTCTGGGTAAATCTACTTCAAAGGAAGCAGCTGCCTGAGGGTTGTTGTGCATAGGATAATTGCCATGCTAATAATGGACACTTCTAGTATAAAACAATACATATGAAGTAAAGTGAGTACCACATTTAATATCTGGATTACATTTTCACCCTGGTGAAAATGCCAAATTCTGACATTTTAAAGATGTATTTAATCTGAAAGATATTTGAGAGATTCCAATTTTGTTTCAAGATAAGATCCCACACTTGTATTTTCACTGAGGCTAAAATAAAACTAAAGCTTTCAGGATACCCCTTCTGGATTATGTGCAATGCACCAATTGTATACTGGCAGAGAATATAAAAGTAAAAATTGTATACTGGATCAGTTTTCCTGGCTGTTTAGTGAGCAGCTGACAAACTTTGGCACAGAT